TTTTCTTATCACAAGGGAGATAATACACATGAGTAGTATTTTCATAAAACTCCATTTAAATATACACAATACACACACACTAAAAGAAAGCCAAAAACAAAACAACAAAAAACAACCTAAAATCATGAAGAAGTATTATTACTTAGTACTTTCTTTTCCCTCTGATTTTACACTTTACATTTTTGACATAATGTCCAGTAAAAGACATACATACACACACACACACACACACACACACACACACACACACACACACACATTAGCAACTCAGAAGACCCAGAACATGATAACTGAAGAGAACAATAGTGATAATTTTGATAATTGTATTTGGAAAAAGATAACAAAGATAATGACAGAGAGGAATCAGACTGCTTGGTAAGATGGAACCACTGAGAGAAAAATAATCAAATAGATTATTTGTTTGAATGCCAAAAAATCATAATTGTTATTTTCTCTTCTGTAAATAATTCTGTGGAGACATAGTGCTGTTCATTTTCTCATTTTAACAGCAAAAATCATGAATTTGCTGTTAGACCAAAAATTATTACGTACAAATTCTATTAGTTGTAACAAAGCATGACTTTTATTTATAATCATGAGATGATATAGAATCCTCATTAAGAACTGGCTTTTCTGAAAGTTGATTATAATTCTTAAACCCTTGAATTGGTATTTCTATTTTATTCATGAGTGAAATTTTTCCAATGTCAATTAAAGAACATTTCAATATAAATTCACAGATATATATGATTGTGAAATAAAATTTTAGCCCTGGCTGGTGAGGTTAATCTTTCTCTACTTCTTATGAAGAGCTCTATCTTCTCTTTTGTTCTGATCATTTCCTGGATTGTTTTGTTTTACAGCCATACTTAGTTATATATTTCTAAATTGCACCTATTCTGTGAGCTTTGTATGGTAGAATCATGAGTGCAAATTTTCCCTTGGTTGTGTTTCTTTCACTTAACATTCTATCTAGGAGTTTTGTCCACTCTGTTACTAGTGTGAATGTTAATATACCTGAACTGACCAGTTATTTTTATATTTAATTTATTTTAAGAAATTCTTACATATCTCAACATCATGAAAGTATTTCCCTCTGTTTTCTTCTAGAAGCTTAATATGTTGCCTTTCCTATTTTAGATCCTCATTCCATATTAAGCAGTTCTGAGTAGGTGGTATCATAAAGTAATCCTATTTCAGCTTTTCTCAAACAAAAACCCAAATTGCAGAAACATTTATTTAGGAATCCACCCTTTCTCATATACTGTTTCATTATGGCCCAGTCTTATGAAGTGTCCATACATATGTCCATCATTTTCTGGGCCAGCTTGTCCTTACTGGCATTTTGTAAATATAATTGTGTCAGGGAAGATGGCTACAGTCAATAAGGTACAGCCTTTATTTCAATTGACTCTTATTCTCACTCAAACTTCACTTTGAAAAACTGCTGAGGAAGCAAAGTGAGTTGCAATAATCTTACATATCTTTACATTATTTTGAAAGATGACAAGAAAACCATGTTCCCCGTCATTCACTTGCACTTGTGGTTAAGCAAAAAATAATGTTAGAACTCAAGGTCAAGTTTTTTATTATTCTGTATTATCGTAAGTGAGTAATTGCATATGTAAAATGTTTCTTTTATGGGAAGAAAATGCACCACCCTGTGACTTTAGAATGCGTGTCCATGGTTTGAGATAATTGTAAGCTGAAGTTACTAAAAGTGAATCCCTCATTCAGAGCTCCCGAGAGTTACGAAAAGGATGAGGATTTCACGGCCTGCAAGAAATTATGCATTTTCTGGGGAGCACACAGCCTAAGGGTATTTCTAGAATATGATAATGACAACCACGAGGCTCCGATTTATTTAGGGACAAGTGTGTTCCTATTCTACCCTTCAGAGCAGACATAATTCCTCCAGGTTTGGTCTATTCCCTAAAGTGAGAGCACTCACTTAAAATGCCTGTGCTCGGGTTTTATGTTCAATCTTTAGCTCAGAGAAAAAGACAGCTGAAACCCAACTTTTAATATTTAACCAAAAAAGCAGTTTCGTGTTAGCAAGCCCACTGTAGATCCTCCAACTCAATGGCCTACTCATAAAATAATCACCTCTTGAGTTTCAGACCAAACTCCAAAAAGTACTTCATAACACTCATTAATTTAAAAATACAGAGCCTTCTTACTCAACAAAACACACCTTGTGAAAAGATTATTTCTTTTTCTTTAAGCCCTGACCATGATCTTACTAATGTTTTATTGTTTTGATCTTGCTGTTCTAGATCTGTGGTAAAAAAGGACAATATGATTCTGGAGAAGGAGCCAGATGAAGAAAGATAACTGAAAGAGATTTGACCTAATTATCTTAACAGGCTTAATATGATTTAATTCATAACCAGTGCCTTTCAGAAACTATGTCAACACATTATCCTGCATGAAGTAGCTTATGGCAGTAATAAAATGCACTAGTAGAATTTTGCTGGTCACTTTTTGAAATTATGTGGCCTTTCAAAATTATGAAGCTAGTGATTAAAATGGGAAAATATGGATTTCCCATCTCTGTGTATTAATCACAAATTCTATATTTGAGGTTGGACATTGGTGAACAATAAAGTCTCTGATAATTATTTTTGAAGACAGATATGAAAATCAAAAGTAACAACAAAGAAACCAGAGAGCTATTCTAATCCTTGCTGTTCTGGTGGTCCTGATATGTCAAAAATAAAGTTAATTTTTCCAGAAGAACTCAGATCCATTATATTGGAGGGAGAGGTCAAGAGTACTCTCTAAATTTTAGGGAAATACTAGTTAGACAAGTGAAATATCTCATTGTTGCAATGCAAAAGGAATCTTCATGAATATATTATATTGCTCATTCCACACCAACCATCAATGATCATCAGATAGCATCATTAGGCAATATTTCAAAGGTCACATAGAGGTTATAGTCTTGTCCAAGCAGGGGACAAGAACATTATATCCCATGGTTTACAAACAGATAACTTCCATACATGCTTATTCAAGCCACAAAGATAAAGATATCAGAAAGTTGAGAAGTATAGGACTATTGAAGGTCATTAGGAAGAGTCCCAAGAACTCTAAATGGAATAAACAAGCCTTGAAAACCAATCCCAAGGCATTGTTTTCCATTACCATTCACAGTGGCAATCCAAATAATTTTGATGCCTCTCAGTCATTCAGCCTAGAACCTCTAAAACATGGCAACCCTTGTTTGCAACGGGTGAGCCAAATTCCAACAACCATACAGGAGACACTTCTGACCTTCTGACAGAGATGCCAATAGATTGTGGAGACAAGCATGCACCAGTTTGGATTGACTGCAGAATGCTGACATAGAAGACATTCTCACCACCTTCAACTCAAGTCATATCACACAATCTGTGAAGGGAAGCGGGCCAAACCAACACACACATGCAAAGGAATACAACTGGAATCATAACATATTGACTTTTTCCTATTGCATTTCAGAAAGAGCATCTTCAATATTTGTCATTTAAAAAATAAATTAGAGTAAGTCTTTTTTTGTAGACTTGTGACCATGCTCTGGTTGCCTGGACTAAGAATTTCTAAACACATATACATATGCGCGCGCACACACACACACACACACACACTCTCACATCAGTAATTCCATGATGCTTCATAGAACTACTTCAGTACCTTCCATCTGTTTGGTAAATTGGCATTGCTGGTAGAATTTATACTATTTCCCATGCTATAAAGACCCCACATACAGACCAGAAGCACAGTGCCCTCTGGTGCACAGATACAACATAAAATAAAACATATATATATATATATATATATATATATATATATATATCACATATTTACATATAGACACATAAATGCAAAGCTAAGTTTTGCTTCTCCATGTTCAACAAATCACTGGGAATTGTAAGCTTCTATCTAGAAGATATGAGCCAATCAAAACTTTCATAAAACATTCTCTATGGCATAGACTCAGGCGCACTTGTATATCCTCTATTTAACGGATTCATTTGGCTGGAGGTCAGGAAGCCTGTTGGATTTAACATACAGCTTCTTTGTGTAACTATTGAGAGTGAAACGCAGAAGATCAGTAAAATTAAAGGCCATGTATCTCAATCCATTCTTCTTTCTTGGCCTCTGCTATTATGTCCTGTTTATCCTTTTCCTTCTGTTACATTGCCATTTCTGCCATGGCCATAGTCTCAATGGACTCAGCTTCTCAATGGCTAGTACAACATACCATTTCCATTGAAGTTCAAAAAACGTAACAACACATCATAGCGTAAGTGGAAAGGAAAACACCACTGGAGAAAATTCACTGAACAACGTTTATGATGATGAACTCAGCCTCAAAGTTCACTGGCATTGACTTAAAGGCACAGGAGGATTCTAAAATCTGAAAAGGATCCACAAGGGGTCACTGTTATCATGTTTTCCTGGAATACATTATGTTTATGAGAAATATGTTCAAACTAGGGGCCTAGTGCATAAAATTTGTGCACGTGAGGAGTGGGGGGCCCCTCAGCCTGGCCTGTCTCCTCTTGCAGTCTGGGAGCCCTTGAAAGATGTCTGACAGCTTAGGCCTGCGTCCAGGGTCTGAGCCAGCAGTTGGACATCCTTAGTGTTACTGTGGAGTCGGGAGAGGCGCTCGCCAGCCATGAGCCCGGCTTCTGGCTGAGTGGTGCTCCCCCTGTGTGAATGCACTGACCACCACGGGGCAGCTCTCGCATTGATCATCTGCCCCCTGGTGGTCAGTGTGCGTCATAGTGACCGGTCATTCTGCCCTTTGGTCAATTTGCATATTAGCCTTTTATTATATAGGATGACAACAACAAACAAACAAACAAAAACATGACGGAGGAGAATGGTAAATAAGAACCCTCCTGATGACAACCTCTCCCCTCTGTCTCTTTCCCTTAGAGAAACGCATTCATACACTGCCTCCAAGGCAGAGAGAGCTCTCTGCACCGGCCTGCCCTTGGCCCCGTCCGTACCTGTATATCTTGTATCTTGTGCTAAATCCCTGCCGGCTTCGGTCCACAAAATCGGCGTATTCCTGTGAGCGATGGAAGGGTCCCTTGTCATACAGGAGCCAGTCGAAGGGGCTTGTGGCATGCTGGTCGGAGACAGCAGCGACGGCGAACACCCAGCAGTGCAGACTCAGGGCTATCCACTCCCATAGAGCCATCAGAGAGAGCACTTCAGCACCGGCTCCGCTGCGCCATACCATGCTTCCCCTGGGCACTTGGCGCCTTCATCCTCTTAGCTTGCCCTCAGCACCTAGACGAAACACACACACAGGCCATTAGTGAGTGCCCACAGCGTACTCTCCAGCAGGGAAGCTGTGCAGGAGGCTGGTCCATTAACAAAATAAACTAATAGCATTGCTTTAGACCAGTGTTTCCCAAACTTCTCTCATGATGAGAATCACCTGGTGGAGTTGTTAAACTACAGATTCCTGAATCCCAAGAAGTGCTAAACTAGAATTTTTGGGAACATATAGGTAAAATGGTATACTTAACTAGTGCTCTAAGCAGATTCTTGAATCCCAAGAAGTGCTAAACTAGAATTTTTGGGAACATATAGGTAAAATGGTATACTTAAGCACTAGTTAAGTATACCTTTTTACCTATATGTTCCCAAAAATTCTAGTTCTCTCAGAGCATTAAAATATACAATTTTACCTATATGTTCCCAAAAATTCTAGTGCTCTTAGAGCACTAGTAAAGTATACAATTTTACCTATATGTTCCTGAAAATTCTAGTTTAGCACTTCTTAGTTGGGATTCAGGAATCTGTAGTTTAACAACTCCACCAGGTAATTCTCATTATGAGAGAAGTTCGGGAAACACTGCTTTAGCCTGGACCCTGGCAAAAGTGACTAAGGGAACTCCGATGACTGTGATCTGTCACAGCTGTGTCCCTGTCTCTGTGAGTGTGTTGGGAAGGAAGGCTTGAGGCACAAGGGCCCCCTGCAGTGGATTGTAAAGACCTATAAGGCAACAGTGAAAAGTCTAAACTCACAATTCTTTCCTTTTTTCTTTTTTCTGCTTATAAATGTTTTATCACCTTGAGCACTGTATAAATAATGAATGTTTAATTATATTATAATTCATCATAAATTTTAATGCTAAGTGTACTTTATTATTTAGTTATTTTAGGACAATTCTCACAAATGAATTAAAGATATTTAAGTAGTTATTTTCATCACATGGATGAAATTGGATGGACTAAATTTATGGATTTAGAGATCAATAAATATATATATATGTTTATATATAAATGTTTATATATATGAGTAAGTTATGTCTAGCTATCTCTCTATATAGATAAAAAATAAAAGGAATGGATGGGTGTGTGGAGGGAGGGAGAAGAGAGGTGTGTGTTTGCTCAGCTATTTTTTCCCATTATCAGAAACAAACTTTTCTGATTTAAACAGAATCATAATTAAATTATTTTTAGGATCTTTCAAAGATTTCAATGTGTACTCATAAGTAAGCATACCTACAAAATTCACATACACACAGAAACTAAGATAATGCAGATTGTACATTATGAAACCATCTATTAATATATTAATTTTAGGAACATTCAGAAATAAAGTAACAAGAGGTGTGATCCCAGGGTGGCAGAACAAAGAACATCACATGAAGCAGACACCACACACAAAAAAGCCTACACATATCTGAATTCAGTTCTTCTTTCTCACTTCACCAATTTTTTCAACATTATTATTTATAGCACATAGAATTGAGCATGATGTAAATTTTACTAATGAGAAAATTTGGGTTGTAAAAGTTCCTAGTCAGCAAAATCTCTTTAGGAAGCAATCAAAATGCACAGTATTAAGTAAATATTTTAATTATAGCTGTCATATTTCTCTGGCGTTTGGATAAGGCAATTGATAGCTTTAATTTGCTTTCTAGTTATAGCCCTATAATTCACAATTTAATCCTAAGCTATTTATTGATGAGAGGTATAGAGCAATCATTTTGCAACTAGAAAGAATGTCAAAACAGAAATACAATGGGAATGACCAAGGACATGATACCTACAGTCTTACCCACCAACAGAATTGAAAGGACTCATGCACACACACTATATGAGTTGCTCTAATCATATGAGCTATTTCACTGAGGTCATTGAAGAATGCCATCTTTGTAAACAAAATAGGAAGCCTTCCAAGTGAATACATTTTAAAAATGATTTATCATAAAAAAATAAAATCACATAATAGAAACATTTTGAAATAGGGGTTGGGAGGTGCTGGGCCTCCATCAATTACTTGTCTAAATGGAGCACTGTCAAATGACTCAGTTCATAATTCCCAATTCTGATGGAGCAAATAGATATTTTTCACATAGTATTTTTCTTATGTGGGAGCTATGACATTTTTCTTAGTATTAATGCATTTTGCTTACATTCCTAAACTAAGAATTATTATTATTATGCATAATGAAACACCATAATCCCCCTGTGACAGACAAATCTTTCCTATCTTTGCTAAACACACATTTTCATTCTGCTGATCAAATATATCCAAACTCGCACCATTTAATCATTGTTACAAAGAATGTTATATTTTCCTAGGTGAAGCAGCAAGAATAGGGCCTCGTATGTGGTAGAACATGTTTCAAAGCATGTTTCCTACTGGTGTAAAATCGTAATTATACACCTAACTCTTTGAGCTTAAATCAGTACAGTAAACATAACTCTGCTCAAGCACATGAGCTTGTAAGACACAGAGTATTACAGAAAAAGTGGGGAATGACAAGCCTGGACTAAGGTCCTCTTCTCAAATTCTGCAATTTTTCAATAATTACCCAGAACCACTGTTTTTATTCTTTCCCTCACCATGTGTGCTCAAGAGCTTTCGCGGTCCTCATTCTCTCATTTTAACATATAGGAATATGGAACAATTTTCTTAATATATGGGAAAACTACCTAAATGTGTTAATATTAGGTTTTATCTTTATGGTTTTATTAGGTTTTATCTTTGTGGTTTTATTAGGTTTTATCTTCATGGTTTTATTGTTCTCTCTCTCCTCTATTTATTTATTTATTCACTTATTTATTTTTATTGAGTTTATTAGGGCAACATCTCTTAACAAATTTACACAGGTTGCAGGTGTACAATTCTGTAATACATCATCTGCATAGTGAACTGTGTATTCACTAGAGCAAGTCAAGTCTCTTTCTGTCACCACTGATCCTACCTTTACTCTCTTCTACCTGCCCCCATCTTCCTTTCCAATCTTGTCTATGTCTTTGAGGTTGGTTGTTATTGTTGTTGTTTTTTTGTTTTTGTTTTTGTTTTTTGCTTCATCCCTTCACCTTTTTCAATCTGCCCCGATCCAACTCCCTTCTGACAGCTGTGAGTCTGTTCTCTGTATCTATGAGTCTGTTTCTATTTTGCTTACCTTTTTTGTTGTTGTTTATAAGGTTCCACATATGAGTGAAATATGGTACTTTGTCTTGCTTTGACTGACATATTTCACATAGCATAATGCTCTTCTGCTCCATCCATGCTGGTAAGATTTCCTTATTTTAATGGCCCAGTCGTTTTCCAGTGTGAAATGTACCACTGCTTTTTTATCCACTTATTTACTAACTATATCATGCCAAGATGGGGTTCCTTAACCTGGCCTGTGGGGATTGGACCAAAACTGTCTTTCTGACATCCCCTGAGGGGATGATGAGAGGGTGGTTCAGGGTAAGGTACCCCAGAATCAGGCTCCCTCCTCTTGATTCCTGGTGCATTACCTGAGAACCACCACTGCCAAGTAACCGAAGTTTGGCAGCCCTTCTGGTCAGTGCACATCATAGCTTAGCCAGTCGCTTAGGCTTTTATATATATAGATGGGCTCTTGGGTTGCTTTCAAACCTTGGCTACTGTAAATAACACTGCAATAAATGTAGGGGCGCATTTAATCTTTTAAATTAGTTTTTTGGGTTTTTCTGAATATATTCCCAGAAGTGGAAGTGCTGGATCACACAGCAGTCCCATTTTTAATTTTTTGAGGAAACTCCATATTGTTTTCCCTTGCCCAAGGGGTGATATAGCAGAAAAAATATTGCTCTGAGAAATGTCCTGCCTATGTTTTCTTCCAAGATTTTTATGGTTTTGAGTCTCACATTCAAGTTGGTCAAAATTATTTCCATTCTATTCCTGTATGTAAATTATTTTCATCTTTCTTTTAAACTGTCTTTTGTTTCACTGTTTTGGTAGTCAAAGACAGTCATGGTTACAAGTAAGTTTTCTGAAGCATGCCTCAAATTTTACATTAAAATTAGATCTTATAATCTAAACATACTATTCAAAACATCCTGCATCTGAACTTTATGATCCAGTCTCTGACCACTTTCCTTATGAATTGGAAATAAGTGTGATTTGAACCTTACCAAGATATTTTGTGATACGATTCCATAAGTTGAAACACTGAGATCTTTTGTATTTAAATTGTGAAGAGAACACAGGTAACTCTGAATTTGGCCATCTCCTTCCACCCCCCACCTTTTTAAAAATTAATCTTTGAGGACATTTTTCCATTTAACTTTAGAGAGAGTAGAAAGGAGGAGGGAGAGAGAGAGAGACATTAATTAGAGACTTATCAATTGGTTGCTTCCTGCACCTTGCACTCCCACCCAGGGCCAGGTTTTGAGCCTATAACCGAGGTACATGCCCTTGACCAGAACAGAACCCAGGACTCTTCATTCCATGGGCGAACATTCTATCCACTGAGCCAAACTGGTTAAGCCTGAGTTTGGAGATATTTAAGAGCAATTTTCCCAATGTGAAGGACAGAACTGAGGGATAGAGCTCCCCTTCTCTTAATTTTTTTCCTAATCAGTTCTGCCATTAGGTAGTAGCATTTAACTTTCTCTTTATTGGTAGGACAAGATTGTATTGGCAGGATCAAGCCTGAGATTAGTTCCCTCCGCAGTATATCCTCCTCAGAGGAATAAGAGGCCCTCATTAAGATGGAAACCACTTAAAGCTGTAATTCAGAGGCACGGTATTGCCTGATCAGCTAAAATAAATAACCAGAAAGACCTTCTGGAATACAGGTTTAGCAATTAAATGACTGGAGAGCTTCACTTCTAAGGCCAGTCTTAACATACAGGATGTAATTTAAAGCAAGGAAGCTCAGTTCTTTAAAAAAAGGAATGAAGGAAAGTGAGAAAGTACAAAAGCAATGTATTACTAACAGATGAATATAATGATCATCT